CCAGGATCACTTGCACTATTATTTGACTTCAAAAATTCCAATACAAAAAGCCACTTTAATAATAACCTATCTAAGTTGATAGCTAAACGTCTTCAGATTAAAGTAGCTGGTGAAACAGCTTATGACTGTTCGGGAGAGAGTTTGTACGAAATATACAAAGATCTATGGCTAACAGAAGGTGATAGAAATAAGATGACCGAACAGGGTCTTGCAAGTGAAAATCTCAGGAAGTTAATATCAGGTGATGACTCAGGAGTAAAAGTAGGTGATGCTAATAAGTTAGCAGATGCGCTTCTCCACAGTGTGTACGGTTCCAAGCTGAGAAAACCAATTGATAAAATAATTGCAGACCATGCATGGTCTATACACACCGTTCTCCATGAACAACAATCCTATGTACATCCTCACACTCCCGCAATCAGATGAGATTATGACTGCCCAAGGAGGTGAAGCTAAGGGTAATTATAAGCTGGACAATCTTGAGTTAGAATATGAGACCATTGAGAATAACGCCCTTGCGAGTGAAGTATCAAGGATGTATTCAACAGGTCGCTCACTGTCCTACAAACATGTTACTCTTATGCGCACAAGTAGTTGGGACAAGGATCTTACCATTGTGAATGAAAACATAAATATCCCCAGAAAGAGCATGTCAGCAATTGTCCTCCTATTTACCAGTACAGTGATAAATGATTCTGAACAATATATTTACCCAAACATTGATAAAGTGAACCTAACCATTGAAGGTGTACCTAATGCAGTCTTCTCCCAAGGACTTCCTAAAAATAGGTTCTTCGAGGAGGCAAAACGGTTTTTCTGCCCTATGTGTGAAAAATCTATGGCAGATGAATATATGTCCGTCAGCAGGTTCTTCGATAATGGTTTCGCTCTAGTAATTGATCTAAGGTCAACACAGGATGATACCACTGGTGGAGGAAGGAGAATTGTTAACACACAGTCGGGTGTACTCATGGAAATCAAAAAGAGAGCCACAACAGCTGACGTTCGATGTAATATTTTTGTTGTATCAGATGCCCTCCTTAACTTTGCTAACAGAGATTTGTCAAGTATTCAATACTAACGGTAAAGCATAGAGATGCAACTCGAACCACCATTCAACATGCTTATAGTAGGAATGACAGGAAGTGGTAAAACTCAGTTCTTACTAAATATGTTAGAAACGGAATACAATAAAGTTTTTGATTACATTGTGATTATATGTCCAACAATAGAATGGAATATGACTTACATTAATTGGGCTCATATTAGTGATCACGGAGTCATACAAATTCCATGTTCACAAGAAATGATCAATCTAGTTCTGAAGGCAGTGTCCACCATATTTCGTGGAACTCAAACTCTCATTATAGTGGACGATTGTGCAGCAAGTCAAGATGTAAAGAAAAGAGTCTCAGAACTGGTGCGTCTAGCATTCTCCGCAAGACATTACAACTTATCTGTTATTGTAATTACCCAACAATTGTCATCAATTGCAAAACCATTCAGGGAGAACATTTCCAGGTTAGTTACATTCTACAACCCTAGTCGCAGGGATATGAAGGTCATAACAGATGATTACCTAAGTGGTGTTCCTCAGGAGACAATTACAGAGATAACACAGGTACTAAAAGATGAGAAGTTCACCGCACTGGATATACTACTTATACACCCTTACACATACACTATCAAACAAAACATCACGTAGAATATAAAAGATGAAATCTGAATCTGACGAAGAAATATCTGCAGCTGTGAGGGAAGTAGAAGAGGCCGCAAAGGCACCGCAAAAGAAAGCTAAGTCTATCGCAAGAAAAACCGCAGATAAGTCGCAAACTGAAAGTAAAAGAGACAAGCTTATAGAGCTATCCAGGGATGGTGTAATAGAGAAGTCCGCAAGTTTTATAAGAAAGTCCAACAAGGATGTTGTGGATAGACTATATCATGAGTATGAAAGTCAGAGGATGTCATGTGCAAGTGACTTCTTATCAACTCTTATTATCTCAAAGTTTGCTTCTGTATTAGGAAGTTTCGGTGCAGTGGAATCATCAGATAAGCTATCAGAGGAACTACTTAGTGATAAGCTTCTAAAGGATGACGTATCATATCTAACAAGGACGATATCCCCCAACATTCCATTCATAGGTTTAATATCAGGTGGTTGTACAACAGCTAAGCACGTCGTTGCTCACAAGTGGAAAAAGAAGGAGAAGCCTGAGGAGATATCAGAGGAAGCAAAACATATCTTATTAAATACAGAAGAAGAAGAATGTCAGGATACGAATGGGAAAACGCTTGGGAAGGAACAGAGTTTGAAGACATAATTACTGAACTGATTGAAAAAACCGACAGGAATAGGGAAAGTCTAGACGCGATTCAAAAAACACTGGATTCGTTAGAGAAAGACCTATACGCGCTCAAGGATAAGGTCATAGAACCACTTCAGTATGATTTCCAGACATTCAAGACTGATACGATAAAAACAGTTGTAAATATATACAAGAAGCTACATGAAATGTAATATTTTATTTGCTGTAGGATGTACATAATAAGCAGCTGGGTGGGTAGAGGGAATGCTGCTTCATAAATTAGATTTAAACGGTATATAAAATAACCATAAAAATTTTTACATATATAGTATAGAGAAAGATGGAAAAACTATTCAGGAACCGAAAGTTGAATGTTAGTGTGAGAGCTGTAGAGAGTGGTGAGGATGTACTGTTTTATGCAAAAGATGTGGCGGAATCTCTAGGGTACGCTGACCCAAAAAAGGCAGTTCAGAAATTAGTTAGGAAACAAAACAAGGTGAGTGTATACGAGTTACGTAAGAGGGGCGAATCGCCCCTCTTACAGAAATGTCACCCACAAACAATCTTACTTTTTGAACCTGGTCTGTACCAGCTAATATGTGGCTCAAGGCTCCCAATAGCTGAGGACTTCCAGGACTGGGTGTTTAGAGAAGTCCTCCCATCTATCCGCAAGACGGGCTCGTATAATTTACCAGATAGAAGGTCACTTAGATATAACCAAATAATCCTTATAAATGAAACGGACCTTCATCACGCAGTTGTGAGTTACATTAGAGATAACTACCCAGAGGCTGTAATAGTACCTGGCTTAGGTGAGTACCAGGATACGGTGTCAAAGAGATGTGATGCCTGGAAAAAGGGATACAAAGGTGGTCAGCCAGATCTTATCATAATGAATCCTATGGGTAAGTACAAAGGATTTGCCATCGAATTTAAGTCACCCAAGGGCACTGGAGCTGCAAGTGAGAAGCAGGTAGTATGGCTTCGTAAGCTTATGGAAATAGGGTATATGATAATGATATCCGACGACTTGATAAAAACTTGTATCAGAATTAACGAGTACTTCTCACTTAAGAAAACTGTAAGGAAAGTTGCAGTAAGAAATTCAACTTGCGACGTAAAAACATACAGGCCAAGGTTCAAATCAGATAAGTACTAAGTTATCTCACCAGTAGATTTAAGTTATCTCACCAGTTATCTCACCAGTAGATTTAAGTTATCTCACCAGTTATCTCACCAGTAGATTTAAGTTATCTCACAAGTAGATTTGAGACATCTTACAAGTAAATTTAAGTTATCTCACAAGTAGACTCTAGATGTCTCGCAAGATAAAATCCAGTTAAACCTAAGGTATCTTACAAGTAGAATGGAAGGTAAACCTGAGCAAACTCAAGTAGTAACAAGTGAAAAGAAGAAAGACCCAAAAAGAGTAGCTGCGGGGAAACGGTTAGCTGCAATCAGCAGAATAGCAAAGGAGAGGAAAAAGAAACTTGCAGAACCTGAGGAGTCATCCAGCAATAACATGATCGCATACGTAGGAGTGGTCATCGCATTGATATCCCTTGCTCTAGCATTTAATCAGCATCAGAGAGAAACAGAGAAACCAGAACCTAAGTACGTCCCTGAAACTGTAGAAGTAACCAGGAAAGCTGATGCGTTCAAGTTAGATTCACTTGAATGATACGTTAAACATAATATATATTATAGCAAGATGAGTAAAGAATCAAAGATGACCGCGGAAGTGTACAACGCAGTGTTACTTACAGCAGGAGCAGTTGGTATATCAATGGCATCGAAGAAACTATTAAAAGAACCATTAGGCACCCCAGAGAACGTAAAAGGAATGGTAAAGCTGGCTGTCTCAGTTAGCCTCTCATCTCTACTAGTCTCTTACCTGAAAGAAAAGAAGTATATACCAGATGATCCATTTAAAACCTAGGTAAGACTATACAATGGCGGGAGCAGTAGCAGGAGGACTATTTAACGCATTCGCATTTGCCGGAGCAGGATACCTATTTAAAATGTTTGACAAGAACGGATACGCCGAGGAAGCCCACAGACACAATATTGCAATGGAGAACCTAACAGCTGAAAGAGAGAAGTACCTTGAAGAAGTCACCGATAGAAGAAACAGACTTGCGCAACTTAAGGCCGAACTAGCTGAGGCGAATAGGGATATTAATTCAATAAATAAGGCATTGGAACTCATCAGGAGAATCAACGAGCTAACACATAGAGCTATGCCAAAAAAGCCGCAACTAAGTAACCACTACAAACCTAGCTCAGAAATGGAAGAATATATGGCAATATTTGGTTTAATTATGGGTGGGGTGGTTGGAGGGGCAGCTTATTTATTAATTTAATACGGCAATAAATTTTTACACATATATTGTAGAGAAATGGACTGGCTTGCAATGGTAGACGTTGACGAGGTAATAGCCCTTGGTAAAAGGGTAGACACTATAGAGGAGTTGGAGGCCGCGGTTAAAAAATATGTAGAACTGAGAATAATAAGGAGACGTAAAAACAGACAACAAAAACAAACAGAATATTTTAACACATATAGTATAGGGAATGGACTGGCTGACACTGGTAACACCTGATGAAATGGAGGGAGTCGGTAGGAGAGCAAAAAACATTGAGGAGCTGGAGGCCGCAGTAATGAAATATGTGAGAGGTAAAATGAAGGTTGTACATACATACGAACCGGAATGTGTTGAATGTGGTAGTAAGTCTATTGTAATAATAGATGGAGCAGATGTATGCACACAATGTGGTACAAGTGACAGGAATGGCTTTACATACTATGTTAGTTACAACCACAACAAGGACGACTACCTGAAAAAGAAGTCTTGTCATAACAGAGTCCGTTGGTTTGAGAGACACTTATTAGAGCATGTTGCTTCAGGGGATAGGGATACCATACGGGAGCAGTTTAGAAGCATCGTAAGGTGTATACAAAGACTTAGACTGCAACGGGGGCGCAACATAGTTAGATATAAGTTTTACCTACTGAGGATAGCCAGCATGAACAACATCACGTTAAGAAACCCTCCTGAGGACATTAAGACCAAAAGAATTGTGGACATCCTTGAGAATAGGTTATATGGTAAGGTCTTCCCCGAGTTGGGATGGAAACCCATAAATTGTAAATATTATAATAACTGGAAATTAAAGAATAAATTATAAATTAAATAAAATATAAAATTATAAAATTAAATAAAATATAAAATTATGAAATTAAATAAAATATACAATTATTAAATTAATTATTAAATTAAATGTTAAATAAATTAATGAATTAAATAGCCCATTAATTAGGGCTATTTTTTTTTACCTATAGTATATAGAGAAAGAGTGAAAAATGGCGAACATCTTTGACATGAACGATATGACCGTTGAACAACTTATGGCACTTAGTGAGATAATCGATGACAGCGACTATGAAGGAAATCTTGAGGATGAAGTGAATAAAATCTCGGAGGATAAGTTCTACCGTGTTGCACCTAAGGACAAGGGAGAGAACATCTTCGCGGAAGAGAAACTATTCATCGATGAAGGTGATAGAGCTACGGATCCCAAGAGACCAAGAAGACTCCCACTGAACTACAAGGGTAAGAGAGGAATAATGCCAACATGGAAATATTCCGAGAGGCAGAAGGCAAAGGCTTTACTAGTTGAGGAAGCGTATCAGAGCCTACTAAGTAGAGGAGTTGAAGGTCTACCACCAACAATGGGAGGTAGATGGAGAACGGACGATCCTCAGGTAAACGCGGAGATGAAGAGGCTCGAAAACCTTAGAAATCCCAAGCGTCCTAGAGGTAGACCACCAAAGGTCAAGGTTGATGGTGAAGTAACCCCCAAAAGAAGGGGTAGACCACCAAAGGCCGCGGTAGCCGAAACCAAAGAAGTTAAGGTTGCCAAAAGGAGAGGTAGACCACCAAAGGCTAAGGTGGTTGAAACTCGAGAAGTTACGGTTCCCAAGAGAAGAGGTAGACCACCTAAGGCTAGAAGACAGACTGTCGCAGAAAGGTTCATAAGCCAGGGTCGGATAAAACTCTCGGTTCCTACGAACAGTGTCATAACACAGGTGGGACCAAATAAGTTCACGGTGACAGTGGATCTCAGTAGAAAACCTACAAGGAAAGCTCCTGAGGTGCCAAAAGGTGTGACTCCATGGAAACCTGTTCCCAAGCCTAGAACTGTTCTTCCTAAGGAAAGACCTGTTCCTAAGCCTAGAATTAAAATTCCTAAGGAAAGACCTGTTCCTAAGCCAAGGACTAAAAAACCAGTGCCTCCTCCAAAGTTACGAAAGCCTGCAAGGGTGACTAGGGAAGTTGTGGAGCAGCCTGTGGTGGTTACACCTGAGGAACATGAAATCGATCCATTTGGAACATACCTCGATAAGCCATCCTACACGAAAATAGAAACTGCCGCAAATGGAGCAGCTGTGACCTACTCAATAACTCCAAACTACATGGACCCACTGGACCAGATGACAGCAAGTAGGCAGGTGGTGAGGGGAATACTAGTGAACGAGTTGAAGAGAATGGGAGGTCTAAAATATACAGAAACAATCAAGGTGAGAATGTCGAAGGAAATCGGTAATGATAAAACAAAGAAGGACTCAATATACTTCAAGTCGAAAACTGGAACCGCGACCAACTTTGAGGATATCGAAAGCACTGCGGCACAAAACCAGCTGACAATCCTATCTAGAATCGAAACATTCCAAAACCTAGGTTCAAATTGGATTATACTAAATATTGAAAGCCACTACGTTAACATTGCAATGTATAAACCTCTAAAGGGTAGTTCATATATGAAATTACCCGCAGACATTAGTAATCCAAAATGTGGTCTCATTAATATGAAAAATGAAGATAACAAATGTTTCATGTGGAGTCATGTGAGACACGTGAGACCGAAGGCTAGGAGAGCAACTACTATAACACGACAGGATGTTGAGTTCTCGGAAAACCTAGACTACGAAGGAATAGACTTCCCTGTGAAGATAAGCGACATTGACAAAATTGAGAGAAGAAACTGTATAAGCATATCAGTGTTCGGCTATAAGGGTAAAAAGCAGTTCTATCCAATAAAAAACTCTAAGACAAAATACGACGAGCATATGGAGCTGCTACTCTTAGGTGACGGTAATGGAAACAATCACTATGTCCTAATAAAGGACATTAATAGAATGCTGTATAGTGTAAGTGGATACGAACACAAGAAGCACTTCTGCCTGCACTGCCTCCACAGCTGTAAGAGTGAAGAGCTGCTGAAGAAGCATAAGGAGACATGTCTCGAGGTAAATGGAACTCAGGCCACAAAGCTTCCCAAGGAAGGAACTAAAATAAAGTTCAAGAATCACAGGAACTCAATGCCTGCACCGTTTGTAATATACGCCGACTTTGAGTCCATACTGGTTCCTGAAGAGAGGAAAGCCGACCCTGAGAGCTCCGAGGAGAAGAGTACTACAGACTTATACCAAACACACAGAGCTTGTAGTTTTGGGTTAAAAACGGTGTGTCATTACGACGATCAGTACTCCGGTGAATATGTAAGTTACGTTGGTGAGGACGCTACGAATGTCTTCCTAAAGACGGTACTGAAGGAATCCATTAAGTGCCGGGAGATGGTAAACAAAATATTCAAGAAAAAGATGGTAATTACACCAGAGCAAGAAGCTGAGTTCTGGATGACAAGAAACTGCTCCATATGTGGTAATGACTTAGGCGACGACAGGGTGAGGGACCACGACCATGTAACCGGAGCGTACCGTGGAGCTGCCCATAATATATGCAACCTGAAGTATAGAATCACATGGAAAGTCCCAGTGGTTTTCCACAACCTAAGAGGTTACGATAGCCATCTGATAATGCAGGAGATTGGAAAGTTCAAGATGAACATCAACGTTGTCCCAAATAATATGGAAAAATATATTTCCTTCTCACTGGGTAAAAGTCTTGTGTTCATCGACTCGATACAGTTCATGGCCTCTTCCTTGGAAGCACTTGTGAGTAACCTTTCACCTGAAGACTTTAGGATAGTCGGTAAGAGGTGGACCGGTGAGGACTTCAAACTTGTGACTCAAAAAGGTATATTCCCGTATGAATATTTGGATGACATCAGTAAACTTAATGTTGAGGGTCTTCCAAACAGAGACAAATTCTACTCATCCCTATATGAGTCCGAGGTGAAAGAAGAAGATTACCAAAGAGCGCTGAAAGTATGGGATCACTTTAAAATGAAAACCATGAGAGACTACCACGATCTCTACCTGGAAACCGACGTTCTTCTTCTAGCAGATGTCTTCGAAAACTTCAGAAGAACTTGCCTGGAAAATTACAAGCTTGACCCTGCACACTACATATCAGCACCTAGTCTAAGTTGGGACGCCTTCCTGAAACAGTCGGGTGAGGAAATAGAACTGGTAAGTGATATGGACATGTTTCAGTTCTTCGAGAAGGGAATGAGAGGTGGAATAAGTCATATTGCCCACAGACAGGCTACAGCAAATAATAAGTACATGGAAACGTACGACGAAGGTCTTGAAAACAAGTTCCTTATGTACCTCGATGCCAACAATTTATATGGCTGGGCGATGTCGCAGCCGCTGCCTAATGGTGAGTTTAAGTGGGTCGAGAATTTCGATGTGGTAAACTTAGATGATTACCTTGGGAACGATGGAAGGGGTATGGTTTTAGAGGTTGACATGGAGTACCCAAAGGAACTTCACAATCTACACAACGGTTATCCGCTAGCACCGGAGAGTAAGGAGATCGGTGCCTCGATGTTGTCAGACTACGCGAAGGATATTGCTGATAAATTCCAGCTGACAATTGGAGGAGTAAGAAAACTGGTGAACTCCCTAGGTCCCAGAAAAAACTACGTCTTACACGCCCGTAATCTGAAACTCTACACAGAACTCGGAATGAAACTTACGAAGGTCCACAGAGCCGTCTCATTCAAACAGTCCCCTTGGCTTAAGAATTACATCGACTTCAATACGAAGAAACGGTCAGTTGCACGTAATACTTTTGAAAAGAACTTCTTCAAATTAATGAACAACTCAATCTATGGAAAGACCATGGAGAATCTAAGGAAGAGAGTTGACGTGAAATTAGTGTCATCAAAAAATGACCTCCTAAAACTTACAGCGTCGCCGTGCTTCCAGTCGCATAGAATTATGAATGAGAACTTAATAGTTGTAAAGCGAACGAAGGAAGTTCTAACTCTAAACAAACCGTGCTACGTTGGAATGAGCATCTTAGACTTATCAAAGACTCTTATGTACGACTTCCATTACAATACAATTAAGAAGGAGTACGGTGACAGGTCAAAGCTACTGTTCACAGATACTGACAGTCTGATGTACGAAATAAAGACTGACGACGTGTATGAGGACTTCAGGAGGATCGGTGAGGAAAAAGACTGCTGGGACAACTCAGACTATCCGAAAGATTCCCCATACTACTCAGCTCATAATAAGAAGGTGATTGGTAAGTTTAAGGATGAAGCTGCGGGAGTACCAGTGATTGAATTCGTTGGGTTAAGGTCGAAGATGTACTCCTACGCGAAGGAAAGTGGTGGAGGTGGAATGACCGCGAAAGGAGTGAAAAAGTATGTGATTAGAAACAAACTCACTCATGAAAACTTCAAGAACGTAATTAAGACGAGAGGTTTGATGAGACATAAGATGAACACAATCAGAAGCGTCAAACATAAAATCGGAACTTACGAACTGAAGAAAATCACACTCAGCTGTTTCGATGATAAACGGTACTTACTTGAAGATGGTGTTACAAGTTACGCTTACGGACACCACTCAATAGAAAAATAAATTGTTAAATAATTCTGATAAATAATAGATAAAAAATGAGGTAAAAAGACCACGGAAAAAATGGCCTAGAAAAAAAAATGGTCTAGAAAAATGAGCCCGCGTTCTTTGGGGAAAATTCGGGAAACCGCTGACCGGAAGTGGGGTGGGATCGCGGGCTGAAAAAGTGGTCTAGAACCTCTACTTCCTATACTACTCACATAGGTACCAGTGTACAATGCGTGCCACAATGTCATGTCTGCGTTTGTATTCTTTTTGTGCTAGCTTCTTGCATTCACTTATCAAGTGTGTTATATGCTCTCCCTTTTCCCCCACAAAGTCTACAGAGTGGAGACTCAACAGTTCTATGTATGTGAAACTTTACATAATTTGTCCTTAGAGCTTGTTCTTGTGCAGCACAAAGAAGTGCTTAAGTCTCGGGTTTCAACTCTCCTTTCTTCAGCCACCACCATGTCTTCTCCCTATCTACTTTTCTACCTAAACCTCTGTTATATTGTCCATACATTTTCTTGTCAATCAAGGCTTTCTCTACCTCCTCCACAGCTTTCTTTTTAAAATTTTCTTTTGTTACGCATCTTTCCGTTCCAATCACACCTGTCTTTGCAACTTGTTGTAAAAGTGGTTCCACACTGTTCTTTACATACCATCACAAACTGTTCTCCTCTGTACGAATTCATCCTTCACAAGTGATCAAACCTCTTCCGCCCTTTTCTCTCGGTAAATATAATCGATGAATGTCACTTCTTGGGTGAAGAGCACCAGACAGTGTCATCAGTTTACGTGTTTTGCGATCCATTGCAGCAATTTCATCTTTTTTCCATTTCAAAACACCAGCTCCGTACCTCAGCAGCGCAACGGCCTAAGTGTTCATTGCTATGATTTTGTTTCTGCCATTCAATTTTGTTTTCAGCACCACTCTTAATCTCCTCCCGTATTCCTTTACAAACTTTCTCTTCATTTCACCCTCCATAATTTTATCTAATTCCAGTATACCAAGATATTTATATCCATCTTCTTCTACGGACTTTATTGTTTTCTCATCAGGTAGCTGTATTCCATTACATTCCACAATCTTTCCTCTTTTCATTACAAGCATTCCAGATTTCTTTATCCCAAATTCCATTCCAATGTCTTTGCTAACTATATGGACAGTTTTCACCAGCGAGTCTACTTGCTCCTTGTTCTTTCCAAACAACTTCAAATCATCCAGGAATAGAAGATGGTTGATTTTGAGTTCTTTTCCTCGAAATTCATTCCCTACCTTTTCCTTTCTCAGTATCAAGCTTAATGGTATCATGCACATCACAAAAAATCACCGGAGATAAACTATCTCCTTGAAAAACACCTCGTCTTATCTTCACATTTCTTAGGCTTTCTCCCACAGATGTTAACTCCGTTTTCTACCGCAGATGTTAACTCCGTATTATTATTATTATTATTATTATTATTATTATTATTATTATTATTATTATTATTATTATTATTATTATTATTATTATTATTATTATTATTATTATTACTATTATTAAGCTTCTCGTATACAGTCGTTATGTCTTATCCAAAGTATCGTGGCATTTCATCATCGCAACACTTTCGAAAACATGGGTTTTGAAAATATTGATCCCGTAGTCAACCAGTACATCCGTAAATGGCTTGAAATTCCAATCTCAAGAACACTAAGTACTGTTTTTCTAACTCGCAACAAATTTGGTCAAAGCATTTATCCTCCATCGGTGAAATTTATCCAATGCCAAACAGTTCTTCGAAAAGCTTTAAAACTTTCTCCAAATCAATCAATCAACGAACTGTGGAAATCTACTAATACTCATACTAATATCCAATACGACTTTTATAACTCAACCAAAGAAGTGCTTAAAGACTTTCGGTCTGAACATGAAGATAAACTCCAAAATCAATTAACTTGTCAGGGATCCTTTTTCTCTAGTGTAACAAAGTTCTCCTTGTCGCATCTTAGCAAAGTGTGGTCTACTGCTCAATCAAAACTTCCGAAAACCATTTATAACTTTACCATACGCTATATCAATAACTCTCTTCCGACACGCAAGAACCTTAGCAGATGGGGATTGTCTTCAAGTTCAGAATGCTCCTTTTGTCTTGGCCCAGAATCATTATTGCACGTGGTCGCTGGATGTCGGTGTTATCTCGATCGATTTACGTGGAGACACAATTCAATCCTGAACTTCCTTGCCAATACCTTGCAAACTGTGAACGGTTCTGCCCTCTACGCTGATGTGCCTGGATTCAAAAGTCCTTCAATACTAACTGGTGATACGTATCGCCCGGATTTGTTGCTATCGTTATCAAATGGCTCTCTTTATGTGGTCGAGCTCACTGTTGGCTATGAGACAAACCTCGAGAACAACGTTAATCGGAAAAAAGCCAAATATAAAGAACTAGTAAAACAACTAAACGAAAATTTTAACGAAGTAAACTTTATAAATCTTTCTATGAGCTCCCTAGGTATTTTTGCGCAAGAATGCTCTACATTCTTAGAAATGTTAGGAAATGTTGGTCTGGACAAAAACTACCAAACGTACTGTGTTAGGAAAATGATGACTATTGCCATTCGAAGTACATACTATATTTTTTGCTGCCGAAATAAGGAATGGGAAAGTCCGGACTTGTTAACTATTTGAAATATCTAATTGTCTTGTATATTTATATATTTTCATGTATTCTGTCTTATCATTTTTATTAGTTCATATAGTTGTGATTCAAATAGCCAATTGTAAGTTACCTTAAATTAGTGAGATTTACAATTGTATATATAGTATATAACAAAATTATTAAAGTTTCCATTATTATTATTATTATTATTATTATTATCAAGAGGATAGACTGCGTAACCAACTAACATGCCAAGGATCCTTCTTCACAAATATTACAAAGTTCTCTCTTTCCAAACTGACGAAACTTTGGTCCACATGTCAATCGAACCTGCCGAAAAATATATTCAACTTTACTGTACGATTTAACAATTCTCTTCCAACGCGGCAAAATCTTGCAAGATGGGCTATATCGACAACTTCAGAATGCACTTATTGCCTAGCCCCCGAAACCCTTTTACATGTTGTAGCAGGTTGTCAATTATATCTGGAACGATACACATGGAGACACGATTCTGTCTTAAACTTTTTTGAGACGAACCTACAGACTGTCAGCGGATCATGTCTTTATGTGGATCTCCCAGGATACAAAAGTCCATCCATCATTACTGGTGACTGTTGTTGTTCTGATTTGCTGCTGTCAGCCTCAAGTGGATGTTTATATATCGTGGAACTAACTGTTGGGTACGAGTCTAATCTCGAAAAGAATGTTCAACGCAAAAAGGCCAAATACTCAGAATTGATCAGGGAACAAAGCGAGTATTACGAGAAGGTCAAATTTATAAATATTTCAATTAGCAGTCTTGGAGTTTTTGCAAAAGAATGCTTGACTTTCATGGACATGCTTAATGATCTTGGCTTCGATAAAAACCCACCAATAATACTGCTTTAGACGAATGACGACGATTGCGATCAGAACAACTTACTATATATTTTGCCGCAGAAACAGAGAATGGACAAATCCAGAACTACTAACCTTTTAAAAATTGTACTATATATTCGTTGTTTGTTATTATTGTTATATTGTGTATGTATAGTTATTATTGATTCAAGTAGACGATTGTAAATTACCTTATATAAGTGAGATTTACAATTGTATGTAACTTAAAAAAAATTCATTAATAAAGTTTCCATTATTATTATTATTATTATTATTATTATTATTATTATTATTATTATTATTATTATAATGAATGAGGAAAATGAGAATAATGAATAAGGATAATCATCAGAATGAGGATAATGTAGACTCAGTTAACCCTGAAATACCACATATAAACACGCAAGAAAACTTCCCTGACTTAAAAAAAGGAATCAAACTACCCAAATCGCCATTACAATGGTCAACTGCTAACGACTTTTTCAAACTAACATTTTCAAATCTTCCAATCACACCGCGGGATTTAAATAATAACATTAACACCATGGCAACAGTCGTCTATAACTATTTCAGCGAGAATTTTGGATATGTCAACAATCATAATGATGTTCAATACCAAAGAAAATATGAAAGCTTTTCAACTAAAGATTTGAAAAAATCATTAAAGAAATTAAAATTAGAAAACGGAGATATCTTGGAGATCAAGTTTGTCGCAAAGAAACTGCGCAACCTTCTTAATAAGTCTAATACTACGGACCCAAATAACACTGATAGTCATGCGTCTGCAAATATTGATCACGACAGTCGGATTGGTAAAAGTTTCTGGGGTTTCGTTAAACGATTTTTCAAACAGAATACTAGCTCATTTCCATCATTTAACCTAGCAGAATGTACATCATATTTTACCAAAACATTGTCCGCGATTAGACCAACTAAAACTTTCAACAACCCCAGTTGGATCCCAAAATTTGCATCTCCCCAGACGCCTTTTAATCTTGACCCCCCGACCTATCAAGAGATTACAAATGTCATCCGTAAAATGAAACCGTCTGGCTCACCATGTCCACTTGATCAAATATCTATCATCTATTTTAAACGCTGTCCTTATTTACGCTCGTACTTAACTGAGATAATCCACGCAGCCTGGTCTTGCGGTGTTGTCCCGTCTGAATGGAAGAAAGCATGCACGATTCTAATTCATAAGAAAGGAGAAACAGCAAACCCAGCGAACTTTCGACCCATTACTCTCGAATCTGTCCCACTCAAAGTTTTCACATCATGTCTTCGCAACAGGACATTTCAGTTTCTTGCAGAAAACAATTACATTGAACAGAACATACAGAAAGGTTTCACTCCAAAACTCTCAGGAACACTAGAACACACAGCACAGTTGGCACATATCATTAATAAAGCGCGTGTAAAACAACGATCACTTATCATAACACTATTAGATCTCAAAAATGCATTCGGCGAAGTCCACCATAACCTTATTTATGAAGTCCTTCAATATCACCACATTCCCGATCACATAAAGAATCTTGTCAGTAGCCTTTATACTGATTTCCAAACTTCCATAATAACTGAACAGTTCAATACTACCTTCATTACAGTCGGTCGTGGCGTCCTTCAAGCGATTGTCTCAGCCCTCTTTTATTCAACATGTCTTTCAATACCTTTATCCAACATATTAAATCGGAAAAATACCGTCAACTTGGATTTTGGAAATCCAGTGAAAACGGTACCCCATTAAATCCTCTTCATTGGTTCCAGTTTGCCGACGACGCGGCGGTTGTTAGCGGCCAAGAAAAAGAAAACCAAATGCTCCTTAATCGCTTTACAATCTGGTGTCAGTGGGCTCAAATGATAATACGTGTAGACAAATGTTCAACATTTGGCATTAGGAAACAAGTAACCAAATCCATTCAATATCTCCCAAAACTATTTATAAATAACTGTCTTGTACCACGTGTTGAACTTGGTAAATCGTTTCGCTACTTAGGTCGCTATTTTGATTTCAACATGTCCGACGAAGATCACAAATCTGAAGTATATGACACACTTACTAATATCCTGAATGAAATTGATGATCTACCATTACATCCGAAAAACAAAATTCTTTTATACAGTCGTTATGTGCTTTCCAAAATCTCTTGGCACTTCACTGTTTCTGACATAGGCAAAACCTGGGTTAACGATAAACTAGATAGTATCGCGTCCACGTATATCCGAAAATGGCTTGAACTTCCTATTTCTGCAACCCTTAGTAACGTCCTACTTCCCCACAATAAATTTGGATTAAATATCATTCTACCTTCAACCAAATTCCTTCAATGCCAAACTGTTTCTCGGAAAGCCCTAAAGTCGTCGCCAAATGAAGCAATCAATAACCTTTGGAAAGATACTAGCAATCACAAAAATGTACAATATGACAAATACAAAAACACCAAGGACGTATTAAACACCATCAGGAAACAACATGAAGACAAGCTTCAACACCACCTCATTTCACAAGGCTCATTTTTCTCCAATATCATTAAACATTCTACACTCTCATTCAACTCTATATGGTCCTCCGTTCAGAGTAAACTTCCGAAGAATATATTTAACTTCACTATCCGGTATATAAATAACACTCTTCCGACTCGCAAAAACCTTCTGAAATGGGGAATATCACCAACATCCGAATGTTCGTTTTGTTTGAATCCAGAATCACTTCTTTACGTCGTCGCTGGATGCAAGACCTACCTAAATGAAGGACGTTTCACGTGGCGTCATGATTCGGTGCTTAACTTCATAGCATCCATACTTAAATCTGTGAACCATTGTAACCTTTATGCTGACCTTCCTGGCTATATCAGTCCATCTGTTATCACCGGAGATGAATTGCGCCCTGATCTTTTGATAACACTTGAAAACAAATGTATTTATATAGTTGAACTTACCGTCGGATTTGAATCTAATCTCCTCACTAATGCAACTCGAAAAAGACAAAAATATCAAGATCTAATTAACGAACAGCTCAAAAATTATGAAAAAGTGAAATTTGTAAATTTATCGATTAGCTCATTAGGAGTTTTCAGCCACCCGTCGCTAGATTTCACCGAAATGCTGAAAGATCTAAAGTTTGATGAACAATGTAGAAAGTACTATGTTCGAAAAATTATTAATATATGTATCAGGTCCTCGTATTATATATTCTGTAAGCGTAACAAAGAATGGGATAACCCACAACTAATGTCATACTAATATTGTTATTATGTAGAGTGTTAATTCAAGTAGACACTGGTAAACTACCTGTAAAGAGAGGTTTATCATTGTAGTGTGTATATATATTATTGAAAGTAATAAAGTTTCCATTATTATTACGCTCTTTTACTAATTATTAAATAGTGTGGGAAATAGTTGGAAATGTGTTTTCTGGGCGTTTATTTCTCCAATTACGCTCTACGCAACGCTGAATGCGTTGAGTCATCGTGTCGTACCATGCACATGCCTTGGTGAGAGCAAGTTCATGGGATATAAATACGAGTGTCTCGCGTATTTAGACGTACCAATCTACATTGATAGCTTAAGTTTGTGGTTTACGAAACACAAACAGTGCTCAATACCATATAAATGGAGTGTATAATATAGTTTTTCGTTTTACCTCAAAAAACCACAACAATCCGTATAATACATCGTTCGCATCCATAAAACTTAATTTTTTTATTATTTCGCAGATATGTCTTGTCCAGCTGGTTGGATGAATCTTGTTTCATCATGTTTCTACTTCAGTACGAATAAGGCTATATGGTCTCAAGCCAGAGCATCCTGTAGAAAGCTTGGAGGGGACCTGGCTGTTCTTAGTAACCACAAGGAAAATAATGCCGTATGGAACATTGTTAAACAAAAACAGTTGGGTAATCCCTTCATTGGTTTGGTCAGAAATCAGGATAAAAAATTTTATACCGTCCAAGGAGTAAAGCCATCTTATATAAATTGGTACAGTGGAGAACCAAATAATCCTCATCTAGAACAGTGTGGGCAGCTTCTAATTCATCACAACGGCCAATGGAATGATGTTTCGTGCAACTCGAAGTATCATTTTATTTGTCAAATACAGCTAATTAAACGTAAGTAATTAAGATCTAATACGAACAGAATTTAAATACTACTTTGGCATGCGTTATTCTTTTAGTTTTTCATACCAATAGAGTTTAACTGTTTATAGCTGTCAAACGATGCCTTAATTTCTTACATCATTTTGCGTTTAAAATAGTCTCTAAAATCGCCGATCAAAATCACAATTTTCCACATCTGTGCCCAAAAGCATTCTTCCAATTTGCCGAAATTAAACCTATATGCGAACTTGGGAAATATTTGGCATCGCAAGGTTTTTGTAAACTTCCAGTTTCGTAAAATGTATAATCACCAACTTTATTTCTCAAATCGCGTGTAAGGTGGCTCCCTAGGGTTTTATTTCCGGGGGTTACGTTCTTAGTATATATGTAAACTAAAACTCGTGTGACTTCAAAATACGAACGAACGTGGTGTTTTCTATGGAACTTTTTTGAAACAAAAGTGTGAACTTTTGAAAGCATAAAAAGAGTTCTAAAAGCCAAAATGATACTTGGATGTGATGTTTCAAAAGAAGATAATGTAAACTTGTCAGTTTGCTTTTTCAAGCAGTATTCTGCATGGAAGTTTTTTGAACAGCCGTGGCGCCGTATGCGAGGTTCGATTGCCAACATTGCGATATGATATAACGTTTCCTCAAACATTTTCAGTGTTTTCTCCACAATCTAGCAGCATTTATGGCAATAAAGATGACTTAAATAATGAGCCCTCTACGGGTGAAATGAGCAGGGCCGAAACTCCAAACCTACCACTATAAAAACTGAAATTTGCACGGGCATTTTGCGAAAACATCCGACGATAGTATTAACTCGCACGGGATGAATTTTGACAAACATTTTTGAAATTAATACCAAGAAGTCATAACCAGTAATTACCTAAATATCTTTTTGCCAATTTTAGTTGTATAATCGACGCTTAGTTGACCATTAACCGACACAGTTATAAACAGTGTATCAAACATAATTTATATTTTGTGAGTTCAAAAAAGTCATGCCTTGTCGTTTTATACAAAATGCATGTACACGTCAGTTGTGGTATTAAACTGTTCGCGTCAAAATCTAGTAAAAATTGCCAAAATTAAAAACAAATTTCTCCGTTTTCCTTCGGTGAAATTTTTTTAAAACTTTGCACATTTTTTTAATAAAGTCGAAGGGAAAATTTTTAATATTGATCTTTCACGTTCTTTAAATTTTCTAAGAAACGTATCGATTTAATTTTTTTAGATTGAGGGGAAAAAGTCATTATACAAGTAATATCTTTTATGCAAAGTTTTAAAAAAATTTCACTGAAGGGAATTTTTAAAATGACCTGAAAAAGACAAATTTTAAACTTTATTCTAACCATGCTGTTGCCATGACAACAGACTTTTTACGCAAAATAGAAATTTGTAATGTTCAGGAGAACCATGGATAATAAAATAAATGGATTGGAAACTTCTGACGTCATTGACTGCATCCTTGTTGAAAAACGTGACGTCACGCGTATTGCGAATGTTACCAAAGTTCTCGGCATTTTTGTTGTTTTGCTATATTTTCCACTTTAAAAGGGTGATCTTGAAGCGTAAACTGGTCTAATTGTTCTAAAAACATGCCTAAGCCACGACAAAGTATTCAAGGTAAATGTTTTTCGTCTTTGTTTTGTATTTTTTTACATTTGTAGCTACGAAAGTGGCGTCACAAATTTTAACGAAATTTGCGATGTATTTTTCACTGTTTAGTGCTTGAAATATTTGCTAAAATTGACTGGGAATACTTAGAGTTTTCATCGTAGAATGGCGTGGTTACATTTATTTGCTCTTTGCCTAAAATGTTTAGCTGTATTATTGCTAAACATGCCGTTTTTGAGAATTTGATTTTCAACTAGGTTGAGGCATCCAACCACGCCATCAATCCCAGTAAAAACATTAGGTCACGTCAGCTAGTTTCCTATCCATTTATTTTATTATCCATGGGCGAATTAAACATTGTCAATGCGTCCAATAAATTTCGTCTTCATTTCATGTAAAATGAAGAAACAGGAGTTTCCTGAATACTATAGTGTAGTAAATTAAAAATCCCTAGGGAGCCACGATAAGGCATCTTTTAATTTACTGATAGTGATACTGATTATTCTTAAATTTGAATTCAAAATAATTTCAAAACTCAGACAATAGTTTTGCACTCAAAATTTCCGTTGCTGAAACGATGATTCGCATTTCAAAAGGAAAACAGATCACATTAGTGTCACTTTGATTGTCTAAAGGTACAATTTGACCTGAATGGGTCTAATCTTTATTAACAAGAAAAAAGAAAATCCATACATGTACCCATTTTATTATAATAAAATCGAAGGCCGTTGAGGGCAACTCACGGATGAGGCCAAATGAAAGTGACAAAAAGAATTAGAGCATTTTCCAAATGTTTTTGGACACCGTGTGAATTTTGCCATTTGTCGGTTTTGTTTTTCCAAATCAATATAGAAGAACTAGAAACGCATGCTCCAGCCCGTTTTTCGGTTCTGAAAGGCCCGAATCACAGGCAAATAGTGGGTGCAAACCAAGCTTGTCATTTCCCATTGTTTAACTGCCCCACACTCATGTAACCACAAAGACACATAAGTATTCCTTCGTAACATCCGTCAGTCAAAAATGTAATATCAATGCATTAAATGCAATGTCACTAAATTGCTGTCTCGCAGATTAATCGTCGCATGTTCAACTGCCTTCTTTCTCTTTTTTATCGCCTCATTCTAACAGCGAATTTTTCTGTAATCTACATCCGGGCCAAATCTTTTCTGTAGTTTTGCATGGAAAAACCCAAACCTTGTGGGTTAAGGTCCATTCTCCCTAAAACAAATAAGAAATATATAAGAAAGTGATTTAATTAAGGAAAGTTTTTAATAGTCCCATGACAAATCCGACGTCTAACACATGATGAAGGCTTTTCGCCAGGAAGTTAGTGTCTAAATAACTTCACGTACGATAGGTATTGTTATGACATTGTCTGGTCAGCAGACATTTGTGTTTAATTAAGTGGATGCGCGCGCAGCTACAAAGAAACGTATATAGAACGTTGAACTAAAAGCAAACTGTGATTGACTTATTTGTGTTGATTAAATTTGAATACTGATATTTGAAGCTTGATATTTCGTATTAGTGTTGATTAAATTTGAATACTAAAGTAGTGGTGTTGTATTACTGCGAGACACTACAGATATCTGCTCGAATTTAAGCGATTTTAAGATTGGGAGAGGAGGGTGAAATAAACGCCCAGAAAACACAGTTCCAGCTATTTCCTACACTATTTAATTTTGGGATAGGTAATTTGGCTTACTTATTGTGGCTTACTTATAAGCATTATTTAGTATAAATTTTGCATATCAAATGGCTTTCGCGCGTTCTGATTGGCTAGCTGACTAGTAAATCTGAGGCATTATTTACCACCTGCGTGGGTAGTAAATAATGCTTTTCAAAAAGAATAATTCGGCAAATTTGGTTCCAAAATCGACAAAATATTGAAAAAATCGTTCCCAGAAAACGAAAGAAGCACAAAATGTTGTATTTAACTTGAAAGGTAGGATTTCTTTATTATTTTACTGTGTCAAACATATTCACGGACAATTTAAAACTTATTTAAAACTCCGAAACATTCACTTCAAAACAAATAGCAAAAACCATCCCGACTTTTGGGAAAAACCTTGCCGTAATATTCTTTAATAATCCATTTTGTTTTGTAGGCTATAGATTTCCCAATTTGTACGATACTATTTCTTTTGATATGTCATGTTTTCATTGTGCTGTATGGTGTTCTGACCGCTGTATTGTGTTTTCGAAACTTGTAAAGTAAAAAGTGTTATTAAAACTTTATTTTGAACGATATAGTTTTACATTTCATTTTACCAAATTCGTCAGCCATTTCCTGAAGAAATTAATGATAACAGAAACTATTTTTAATTCTAAGTCTGGTGAAAGAGTTATTCGAATCCGTTATTGTGTTTATACTCCTAGCAGAAATCGAGAAAAACAACTTTGCAATAAACCAATAAAGTCACACAAGAAGCCATCTAATTGAAAGCGTGCGTACAAGAAACACTGCAACACTATTAGTGAACAGACCGAAAACAGTTCTGAAATTTAATTTAACTGATATTCGGATATTTTGTTCCATTCATTAAAAAATTTATACTAAAACAATTATTCGCCTCAGGCTCAGTGATTACGGTGAATATTCACCTCAACTTCGTCTCGGTGAATATTCACCGGTAATCACTTCGCCTTCGGATAATAATTGTTAATTATTGAATGGATTTCTGTAACCTCAACGGGTTTTAGATTTTAAGGTTTGCAAAGAATAACCACTTTTGATTTAGCTGTATCATACGTGTGCTTTTTTGTGGGTTTTTCCTCTCTCCTCCGCAGAGGCTTTAGCTTTCTTAGGATTTAATCAGAGGGTTTAATATTATGATGAGATACATTTCACTACACTTTACATGGCGGATCTAGGAACACGAGCGTAGCCGCAGGGCGAAGGAGCGCAGGCGGCAATTAAAGGAAAAAGGCGAGGGAAGGCGCGAAGCCTCTGCACGATTTCTATCGCAAAGTGGGACAAAGTGTAAACATCGAAACAAAAGGTGATTTTTAAGCTAAATAACATACGCTTTTTTGAAAATAAAATCATAATTTAATGCATGATTGATTGACCTCATTGACTAGTACTTGTATATTTGTGGATGGTCAAAAGTAATTAGATTTTTTAACATTTAATTAATACAAAGCAAAACAATCGTATATTTTACTCACCGCTTGTCCAAACATTCTGTATTTCGTATCGAGAAAAACTTGAATATCTCTTGAACTCTTTGGAATTCGCCACAAGTCAAAGAAGTAAAATACTCCTTGTATTCAAGCGCTTTCGTGTAGAAAATTTCGTTTGAATACGGTCAGTAGAAATATTTATTTTTAATTTTTCAAAATATCGGGTTTTTACTCGCACAGTTGTACGCGCCTGTCACACGCTGA